TGTGTGTGTGTGCGAGTATGTATACATCATCCTGTGTGTGTGTGTGTGAGTATGTATTCATCATTCTGTGGGTGTGTACGCGAGTATGTATACATCATCCTGTCGCATACCTTCTGTGAGTGTTAAGCTTGTGGTCAGGCAGTCAGAAAATATGACGGGACTATGTACGGTACGAATATTCACAAGGATGTTGCCAGTTACGGTTTGGACGTTTTTCTTTTCCGAGACAATCAGTAGTACGATTTTGCAGATGTTTATGCGTACGAAGTATTGAGTCGTTTGGCAGGGTTCTCCGGCGAATTTCAATCCTGCATCAAATAAGTCGAGGGCGTATAGTGGTTGCTACTACGGTCAGCTAAAAGAGAATTCTGGAGATAGGAACGGAGAGGCCTGAAGGGCCAGTGCCAATTGCGCTGCGTATTTATGTACCCCTCCGGCACAAGGGTTATACTATCTTCCCTTTAGATACTCGAACGTTTGTGAGAAGTCAATGTCAAAGCGAAGGAGCTCAAGAGTATTGGCAGTCGAAAACAAATCGCACTGTAGTTTATACTCATAATTATAGCCATTCAGTATGCTTTGATTATATCTGCATATAGTAGCCTTTATTCGGTAGCCCTGGCCATCGCGTCAGGGCTTTGCAGTATTCTTCTGTATGTATTTGCACACAGACGTCCCGCAATACCAGGAGATAGCAGGTATACTAGCCCGGTTGCAGCTGCAAAGCTGAATACATGCGGGTTGCTATGTGCATTTGTTGCTATGTGTATCCGTTGCTATGTATATTCGGTAGTCGGTAGTATCGCTCCGTGGAGTCCCCCTATTCCCCTGAGCCCTACCCACTCACTGTCGGTCCATTGTTCGCATGGATGGGTGCGCATGCGCAGACCCAGACCCCGCTTGTCTCGCACACGGAGTGGGTATGGCGCGTGCGGTCAGTGAGTACACATCCGTACACACAACCACAGCCACCTACACACAGCCACAGCCACCCCCCCACTCCCTGGCCCAAGAGGCCCAGGTTACGCCTTCTACCACCTTAGGGGTCGCCGATAGCTCCTCTCGAACCACCTCCATCTCAGCACCCGCATCGTGCTCCCCTCGTTCGGCTGGTAGGGTTGTCTATGTACTGGTTTCACCTGGTAGGGTTGTCTGTGTGCTGGTTTCACCTGGTAGAGTTGTCTGTGTGCTAGTTTGGGCTGGCTCGGTTGCGCCCGTGCGTGCTCGCTTGTGGGCTGCACTGTCTTTGGCGTGTTTCTTGTCCTCGGTTTTCTTGTCCTTCGGTTCGCTCTTGATGTGTTCACGTTTGGAGTACATGAACTGGTAGTGCTGGCGCACGGCCTTCTCGGATTGGGAGATCTGGGGTGTGCGTAGGTTGGGGTTTATAAATCCGGTTATAGAGTGAAACGAGTGCTGTTTGTAGCATGTATAGCGCACGTTCACATATATGTATGTGGTATATTCTCATATCAATATGCGATGTTCCCTCATGTCATTGTATGTGGTTCGTATTAGAGAGGGAGAGATGAGGAGGGGGGGGGGAGTGTTGTTTCCAGTCCATCACAAATGCACTGTTTGAGATTGCTTGATCGTAAGTTGGTGTTCTTGTTTTGATTCTGTTGCTTGCTCCGGGTACGTCCGATGAATCTAAAATCCGCGCTCGTGTATGGATGCCCAAGATCGTATAGAAGCAAATTGGCTTCCCATGTGCTGTCTTCGATTGGTATACACAATTGTGAACAAGTATCTTAGTTTTGCATGGATATACAAATGTACTGATGATTATATATCGCTCGATATTTGTGTATCGATTGTAGACATATGCATATCAATATATACGCACACACACACACAAACACACACACACACACACACACACACACACACACACACACACACACACACACACACACACACACACACACACA